AAATTTTAGTAAAGAATCTTTCGAATTTATGGGATTTATTGATGCAAACACTTTCACTTTTCCCTTAATTCATAGTTTGCCATCTTGGATAGCAATTTGGAAAAGATTGAGACGCCCTTAATGTTTGACATATGTTCACGCTCGCTTTGAGTCGATTTAATTGCGTTTAGCATTTTCATGTCTCTCCTGCTGTGCGATTTCTCGCATTTAGTTCCTTTTTCGTTTTTATCTGTTGTTTTTTTCTTTGTTTTTTTTTTTAGTTTTCTTACATTTCCTTGTGCATTCGAGAATGTGTTTCTCTTGGCAGTTGATTTTGGAAAACACGCATGTCCTCTCATCTTCCGAGATGAGAGCAGCTGATTAATATTGTTGTTGCCCTTATTATTAGGTCCATATGAGAAAACAATTTGCACTTTGTGGTAATCGAGCAGAGAAATTCCGTAGAAAATAGAGAATTGAGAAAAGACTTTTACACCTTGGAAAAACTTTTAGTTAAATTTAAGAGAAAAATGCATAATACACACACACATGTATATATGTGATGTTTAATTCAAATACAAAATGTTTACACCGCATTTCGGTGCGTGGTAGGCGTAGAAGAATTAACAACGGAAATTGTATTTGCTACCAAAAGTTCTACCACAACTCAAGTATACTAAGTTAAGTGTATATCTCAAGCGAGTTTTCTTCCAGTTTTTTTTTTTTTTTTTTGCTTACCAAAATGAGCGGTAGTGTTGCTTGAGGTAAAATGGATAATAATTTATGCTAGATGGTGGTGGTTGACCAAGTGTTCACATAGTGGCATTCAAGGACTGATCACCGTCTATGCGCCATCGAACAACATGACGGGTAGATCTTGATTGCCGTGTAGCCAGGCAAAACATCGAGAGACATTTCTCCAATATATCAGCCCATTCAGGCACATATTCAGTCGCGAATCGACTAAATATCATTAACATTTTTCCTGTTTTATTCATCAGTAGTTCAAGTTGAAGCGCCCAAGTCTTTACCTACACCTCAATTTACTTCTGTTACGATTGCGCGATCCACCAGCCTTTTGCATAAATACCAATTGTCAATACCGAGAGTAATTAATAACAATCAATAGTATTGCTGACACGATAACAGGGAATTCATTTGATACGCTCTTAGCAATTAGGAACTGTATGTGAAGTATTGAAAAATCTATGCTGTTTGAACATCAGTGAAAACGATGATAATTTTTCCAACTTCGACGACAAAAAAGGTAAGTGAAGTAAGCGATAGCTAGCAAGTAATTCTCCGCAAGTTAAATCATATTACTGGCACACTTTACAAAACCAAGCTACGTGAAAAAGTAATACTTCCAACTTTCAAACATGAAATCTTACGAATTTCTGAAACTGTATCTTATTGCAACCAGGCTACCCACGAATTAGATGTAATTGATTGAGTAGCTTGCGTTCATGAAAGTAAGTGTGGATTGTGTATTGAAAGGCCTTTAATATAGTGGGCCACGGCCCACTCCAATACATATCCTATAACATTTTACTTAATTTAGTTAAATTTATAGCGATTGGAATCGGTAGAAAAATTTGGTTCTTTCTGAGCCATTTTCAATAGCTTTTATTCTTGGGCCGACATCGGTGTACCAAATTGCATTAAAAATTTCGCGAAAATTTACGATTTGTTCGCTGAACACTAGTTTACATAAGCAGACATCACTTGTATAGACGGACGGGTGGATAGACAATTAGAATTACTTTACGAATCGATCGATATCAAGTCCCTGGGGCTGTTTAATGGATCCGCACAAACTTAATATCCCTCGTGGTCTAAAGTATATATGAGATCATATTGAAAATTGTCCGAGCTTTTCTCCCCAGGATGATGTTAATGCCTATAGTTTGGGCAACACTCACATCACATTTTTTTTGAAGAGAATTTTCTGGTTCTTTGCTCGTGGAAAAAGTTGTATTGATTTGAAAATAAGTGAAATATCTCAAGAAATACGCTATGTGATGTTGTATGAGTGAACGAAGGGCCCAGAAGCGGTTCGCTCGATTCCGTTCTGGAAATTTCGATATCAAAGATGTACATCGCCGTCAAGTAAGGTGTCAGGAAATAGCGGAGGCGTTAAACATCAATCACATGACAGTTTGGAATCATTTTAGAAGAGTAGGCTACAAAAAGAAGCTCGAAACCGCGGAGACTTCTCATTACGACCCATTATATAGGCAAAAAATAATTTGCATCCAATTTGATAAAAGGACAAGCTCGCGGATATGGCAACGAGAGAAAGAAACTTGCTTTCCAAAAACACTAACGCAAAATGGTGGACTATTCGCTTGAAAAGTGCAGAAACAAATAAATCATTCTCGTCACAAAATTGCTATATATGACTGTACCCTATTTCTATGAAAGAGTTTACTTCCCCTACGAACCCTTATTTATTTATTTATTTTAATTCTATTTATACTAGAAACTCAACTAACCAAATAACAGTCGAGTTCAATTGACTCATAATGCAAAACTTATATTAATTAATAATAAAATTTAGTATAAGTATAATAAAACAAATAAGAAGAAAAAAAAAAGAAAAAGAATAAAGAAAAAAAAAGCATGTACACAACTAGCATAGAGCCACACCCACAACCGATACAGGACCAAATTGCAAGTGAACCCCTAAGCCATCGCAAACATGCATAAGCTTGGCAACCGATAATTGTTAACAACAAATTAATTTGCGACTCATAATGACATATTTAAGGTTAAGTCAGTTTAAGTACGACATGGGTAAATCGCGCGTATTAAGCAATGTTGCTTTAATGGACTTTAAAGAGTCCGATAACGAGAATAAGTGGTAGACGTCATTTAGGTTCTTGCAAACGACTCTGAGCGGATTGAACCGCTCATAATTAAATTTACACTGACTTAGCTTAACCAAGATAAACTGCCTAGAGAAGCGGTTAGGGACATTGAAGCTTATTTCATCAAGTAATGAAGGCGAGTCAATGGCACCATTTATTACTTTAATTAGAAAGGAAACGCCCAGAACAAACCTATTTTTCTCAAGAGACGGTAGGGACAACAGAAACAACCTATTTTCATATGGAGGACGAGAGGCAATCGGATCCCAACCCAAATTTCTAATGGCAAACAGCAAGAATTGCTTTTGATCAGATTCAATTGAATCTACGTAGCACCTATATGAAGGAGACCACACAACTGAGGCATACCCGAGTATGGGTCTAGCCAAACACATGTACAGCCTTTTCGTAATGTAGGGATCATCAAGCTCTTTGGACCACCTTTTTATAAAACCAAGCGCGGACCTAGCTTTGCTAATCGAGAGCTCAATATGCAAGTTAAAACGTAACCTATGGTCAAATAGAACGCCTAAATCTGTGATCGAATCGACATCCTCCAACTTATGCGAATCTATGAAATACTGAGTAATGAATGACTTTCTTCTTGAGAATGAAAGCTTCTTACATTTACTCAGATTTAGTTTCAGCAGATTCAAAGAGCACCATGCAACAAAATTATTCAAATCACCTTGAAGATGATGTGATTGCGATTCAACAGAGAAGGAAGAAAACAGTTTCACATCATCAGCATACATTAAGATCTGGCTGATCTGGTTTCACATCATCAGCATACATTAAGATCTGGCTGAAATTAACCACCGATGGGAGATCGTTAATGTATAAACTAAATAAAATGGGACCTAAGTGAATTCCTTGAGGTACGCCAGACGTAACGGGGAATTCATCCGAGGTGATGAAGTTAAACAAAACCCTGAAGGATCTATTGTGCAGATAAGCGCTTATCCATTTCACTAAGTAGGGTGGGAAACCAGAGGCTTGGAGTTTAAAGATAAGTAGTCTATGGTTAACCATATCAAATGCTTTGCTTAAATCAGTGTAAATAACATCTATGCGAGAGCCACTAGAAAAAGCCTTCACCTTATGTAAGGTGAAATTCAACAAAGAAATCAACTTGCTTCAAATTCATATTTGAATCAATTTTCGATATAAAATTTTAAAAATTGAACCTTTCTATCGTATAAAGAGTTCCTTTCTCATAGGAAGGATTATTTTGCTTATTGTAAATTTGTAAGAAGGTTCCCTTTAATCAAATATATTATATAAAGGATCATATCGCAGTATATATATATATATATATATATATATATATATGTATATATATATCTGCCAAAGGTTGCCAAAGTTATTTGCAGTAATAAAGGGAAATGCTAAAGATTGATTATCCACCCATTCATTTCGAAGCGAACCGAACATAAATAAATGAATATATGATAAAAAAAAAATGCTTCATTAAATGAGCGAAGGATCGAAGCTGGGGGTTCTCAGTTCAAGCGCCGAGCAAACCAACCACTAATCTGCTTAGTTATAATTTCATGTATTTAAATTGGAAGAACAAGAAGAAGAAAGGATAATTTCCAAAGCTGATATGTATTGATTGACTATAACTTTTAATAATTCAGCCCTTCAAGTGTAACGTGAATATAAAGGAAAGCATTTGTTCACTTGATGCAATTAGAAAGGAGTAGTATACAATACCACTAAGCTCTGAGTCCACATCATCGAGAGTCTTTGATATTTTCCTAAAACAATGTACGACATTTAATGCATAAAACTCTACTCCGTTAAAATTCTTTTGATCGTAACTGGACGTTAACTCTGCTCGCTTTCCTTATTGTTATTATTATTGATTTAGCCAAAGAAATCAATTCTAATACTAAAGTTTTAAGGCACTAGCGATCTGAGGCTTTATGGGAAACTCTACCGTAATGGAGATCTAAACCCATTGTTGTTGTCCATTCAGTTGGTAGTCGAAATCATTTGACTACTCAGCTATTGCTTTGGATTATAACTAAATGTAATTTAATTGCAATTTAATTTTATTATTAATTGTCAAGAAATTTTTTTAAAAGTTCAGCAAGAAGAAAACTAAAACTTGCTTATAGTTGAAAGGGGGTAAAAAAAAAAAAAACCTTATGGATATATTAGAGAGACTGCGGTATAAGATATACCTTTGACGATTGGAAGATCAGTATAAAGATGAGTGATACGACCGGGATGCATAATCATCCAGCCTTTTTCAATATCAATAACTGAGCAGTTGTACCGTATAAAATAACGACCACCGCCGCTATATTCAACTCCGACGCGATTTAAGGCTATATTTGCGCTATACACTCGAGAATTGTGCTTAGGCGCAACGAAATGTTCTTCATCGGTTTTATAACGTACAATAAAATGTGCAGCAGTGTGTGGCACCTACATAAAGTAGAGATCAATTAATAACTTAAAAAAGAGAGGACTTGAGTAAAATCTCGTTAGATGCTTACGCCAAAACGTTTAGCAAGAAAGATTTTCGTTTGCAAAGGTTGAACGAAATGCTGTAAAAAACGAAGCCATACCGTCTCCAGATCCACCTGAGACATATGAATCGCTCGGGCATCGAAATTCTCAAGATCACTATTATACTTGCGTCGACAATAATTTTCCATAACAGCAAGTAAATCGTCAGCAAAGACATCGGTGACAATTTGAAATAGATAGACATCCTGGCACGGCTGCAAAGCAGTATAGCTTTCTTGCAGCTGTTCAAGGTAATTCGTACTTATATATTTCCGAATCCAATCAAAGGGATTTTGCAAAAAATTATACAAATCGGGACGACTTAGAGTAACGTTGAAGTTATCAGTATTTATTAAATGGCCATAATAGCGCTCATTGCTCACGTAAAGATTGATATTCTAAAATGAAATGATTGCACATAACATATAACATATGACTTATATAACTGATTTTAGATATGAAAAGCATAACGAAATGAAATAATCAATTATTCGCTTACCGCGTTACGTAAACTTAAGGACATGGCCATGTCCGCTTTGCAATGCTCATGATCATAATTAATATATTTAAAGGCAGTATTTTTAATCAAATAAATACTCGATACATCCCATGCATTCCATAAGCCACTGCCAGTGGAATAAGTGAAGAAAAGAGAAAGTTCCGTTATTGCATATGTCAAGCCACTGATCGTGTCCCGCACAATTTTTTTACTTTGCATCTATGACGCGGTTAGCATTTATTCTATTTTAAAAGTGTACTTAAAAAAAACACAAAAAAAAAAAAAAAAAACCTTTTTTGTACTAAGAAAAACATCCCCTTATGTGCATGGAGTATATTTCTGGAAGTATCCAATAGAAACACAGGGAGAGTAAAAAACAAATAAGAGAGCAGCAAAATGTCGAGCTAATCATTCAATTATCTCATTCAAGAATTTTGGGTGATGAAAGTGAAATATATATATATATAAATATATATATATATATATATATATATATTAATTCGTTATAGTAAGGCATTATACTAAATGAAAAACAGTGGGATTTTTTTGTTGATTTAGAAATTGCTTTGTTTCTCTCATCACATGCTGTTCTCTCAATTGTGGCTTTTTATACGAAACTGGTGCACCCTGCTGTCATTTTTATTGCAACTTTTGAAGAGTGACTTTATCGCATGCACTAGGAAATCTTACGTTTAGTACTCATTATCAGCGAAAATCGGTTTTACTTTTCATTCATATCTGTATATGTATGTATGCATATATAATTGCCAGCAAAGTGGAAAACGGTTATTTTTTTTTTTTATTTTTTTTCGTAATATATGGCCATATACTTTTTCACCTGATATTCAAATTCGCCTATTAATCAATCTGTTTTTATTATTAGAGTAGATTAGTACGGAATACCGGAATGCATTAATGACTGCTAAGCGTGGATGCTGTACTCAATAGATCATGAGGACGGTGCACGAACTTCGTAAGCAAGAATGATCTTAAAACTTTGAGATAAAAAAAAAAAAAAAAAAAAATACAAGAAATCAGCGAGCGAAGAGCATATGATAAGAGAGGTACGTTAATTTTTAAATCGTTAGGCAAATTAAACAATTGCCGTAGCTTTTCCAAGAGGCTTAATATTCAAAATATCAGTATGTGCCATTACATTGACAACAAACCATCCACAAAAATTGCAATCAGTTTAAGCTGGACACGGTAACGGTACCCTGTTGTCGTCTGCATATAATTTTTGTTAAAACGCTGTCCGCATATAAAACTAAAAAAGGCATTTATTTATATATGTATAGCGAGCATAGAATGCAATCACTTTTGTACTAGACGTTAAAAAATAGAAAACCAATCCGCATTGGTTTGAAATTACAAAAAAAAAAAAAAAAAAATGTACAAAAATTTATTAATATTGTGCTTTGGATTGTTATTATTCGGTCAGCTGAGCGAGGGGAGACGCGGTCGCGGTCGTGGTCGCACCAAGTCCCGAGTACAAATCGGTTTACCGATAACCGGTAAATATCGTGATCCCGAATCCGATCAGTATTACAATAACAATAATGTAATAATAATTCATTTCTCTTTAAATCGATAGTTGATTTGCAAGAAAAATTCTTAATTTTCATTCATTTCTCTCTCTCTCTCTCTCTTTTTTTTGTTTTTTTTTTATCTCTCTATCTCTCTCTCTCTCTCTGTTTATTTAAAAGGGAGCCAAAATCCTGCAAGCATCCCATTTCGATTATGAATATGTTCTCGGTCATAAAATTGCATTTCTGTGCGTCGCAAAAGGCAATCCACGACCTCAAATCACTTGGTATAAAGATGGCGCGGAAATATTTCAACATCTTTATATGCACGTGAGTGTTTAAAATGGGAAAAATTAATAACACACTGTCCGTCTAGCATTCTTAATATGCTTTCAGATTCACGAATGGCGCATTGGCGAGGATAAAGTTAAATCGAAAATCGAAATCGATCCGGCAACACAAATGGATGCAGGATTATATGAGTGCACGGCCGACAATATGTACTCAATAGATCGCCGAAGTTTTAAAACCGATTTTTCCATCGCTTTCGATTAACAACTTTCAATGCCACCAAAAAAAAAAAAAAAAAAAAAAAAAAAAAAAAAAAAAAAAAAAAATTCTGCTTTCATACCGACTACAAGTAACTAGTGGTCGGACCATAAAATTTATGCGGGACTTTTATTTTACTTTTTTTTTTCTTTCCATTAAATCTCAAAATAAAAAAAAAAAAAATCGAGTCCAATACTTACATAATGTCACGGTTAACTATTTCATTATAATCGCTAGTATGCAATTGAAAATTACTGAAATTCGCTTTTGCGGCTTTAAGGATAGGTGCTAAAAACTCTCTAAGTACATATATATAAAAGATATGAATAAAGGAAAATTTTGAAAAGAAAGAGACTGTGCAAGAAAAAATCTTACTTACCGATCGTAAGCTAAAAGTTCACGTAAAGTATCAGCGTGATTTACGTGAACACAGGCAGCGATAAGAAATAAATAATCGCTACGACTCTGAACAGCTTCTTCACTATTAAAGATTGAAAGGCTGTGAAAAGAAAATTTGCCAAATTGTAAAATCAACTCACATAGCCCTCTGTCTGCCTTCTAGTTCATTCCATTGACGACTCGATGAAATCATGTTTGATGATTTGTATTTATTTTGCCAGCATTTATAGAAAAACTTTATCGCCGCATCGTGAAATTTCGCGCCATTATATATGAATAAATGCATCTGTTTTTTGGGATAATTTAGCCGCTCAATATTTTGTAGAAATGCATCAAAAAATGGCACCGGGACGTTAATAATTATGGCCAAAGTAATCACAGGCAAACGATGCTCCTATGTGGCACAACAATTGAAAAGCGGTTCATTTTCTCAATTATATCAACTCTCTCTCTCTCTCTCTCTCTCTCTCTCTCTCTCTCTCTCACCTGAAGTTTAATTCGAAATTTACGGCAAAGCGTACATTTACCGGCAAAAGGTGCACTTAAGTGTTTAGTGAACGAATTTAAATCCTTTTTCCCGAGTATGCGGTTACCAGGTGCAACTTGAAAACTCATATTTACCAAATCATTTTCATATGTTTTAAGATTAATAGGAGAGTGCAACGTTTGGTATTTAGATTGATTCATTTCCATTTGTTCACCCAAATAGATACGCAAGTCAGTTTTAATTGCTTCGCTAAAATACCTTCGATAACTTATATTGCAAAAGGCAAATTGTTGAACTAAAACGTATAATCGAGCAGAATAGCATTGGTAAGTTTCCCAAGATTGGTACAAGGCAGAGGAACGTTGCCAAGATGAATTAGCAATGGGCCGCCAGCACGTTTTCTTAATAAATAAAATCGACGACGAATGAGGAATAAAAACCGCATTGGATCTATAAAATAATAAGATGAAAATAATTGAGGGAAGATAATGTAAAACAGGTGCGTATGTGTGCGTTTATGTATGTGCATATGTATGTACGTATGTATGTATTTACGTATGCATGCATGCATGCATGTACGTATGCATATGTATCTATGCATATGTATGTATGTATGTATGTATGTGTATATGTATGTGTACGTGTACGTGTTTATGTATGCACGTGTGTGTGTGTGTGTGTGTGTGTATGCGTATGCGTATGTTTATATTGGATTTACTCATAAAATCATTTACTTGCGCAAATTTTGCCTGCCTTTGAACGCAGCAATCGCTTGACAAAAGAGATTTAATTGTCTGGAGTTTACTTCAAAATCGCGAATTATACCTTCTTCTGATGCCTTCACCTAACGTAATCGGATAAGTAATATGAAAGTGCGAGTAAATGCGGGAAACTTCAAGAATATATCATTTCATACCCACCTCGATATCATGAATGCGAGCTGAATGTACAGAGCGCCAAAAATCAGTTGATTTCATAATAGCTGAGAATGAACGGAAAATCGGCGAAAGGATTATAACAAATCACTTCATTGATATACTATGATAATTAGGAGGTATTACACTCACCAAAACTTCCCGAGCTATCAATAATAATAGTTTTGCTCTCTGCGGCGCTAACTAAAACGCCAGTTATTACCATTAGGAACGCACGTAGCACCAACATAATTTGTCCACTTGTGTTCGTATGACTGCTATTGATAAAACGAGAAGCATAAATTTGATGTTTTCACTTTAGAAGAAAATCTAAAATTATTCTTCTATTTCAGTCCAAGCCTACTTTGAATTTTTTTTTCCTTTTTTCTTACTTAACCAGCAAGTGATTTCATTTCTTTCATTGAGTCTTGAGACAGAGATAAAGATTATTATTATTTTATTATTAGATTCATTGCCCGAAATCTAACATAGATTTACCAAGATCCAAACATTTTCGGGAATTCGCCTTGGTCATACAATTCCAACTCACCAATGGATCCTGAAGAAGTCTTCTCCCCCAATCTGCTGTTGTGGACAAACTCTTACTATAAAGCACATTCTCTGCGACTGCCTCAACTTTTCCTTGGCTAGAAGTATTGCATTTGGAACGATTAACCCTTTGAACATTCTACAATCAGCTTCAGAAGAGAATATCAATTCAATATTTTACTTTATTAATACTACTAAGCTTATTATCTAATATCCATTTATTTAAATTAGAGCCGATAGCCTGTGTTGCTAGTGCTCAATGTCTTTTTTTTAGTCTAAGAATTCAATTCATTAGTCTAAAATTAAAATAATAATAATAATAATAATATTTTATTATTAGATTCATTGCCCGAAATCTAACATAGATTTACGAATATTTCTTAACTTCTTAGGTGACTGTACAAATAGTAGTAAGACCGACATCCAAAGTCTCCTAAATCAGATTACTTTCACATGAATAATCTTTTTCTTATTATTCTCACGGTACATAGCACAATTATATCTGCCTGGAAGCAGAGAGTATTCATTTAATTTTTATCGTTGCTTCCGCGTTACATTAGCCTAATCTCCATTATATAAAAGTGTCTTCATCTCCAGGCTATTAACCGATTATGGTTTGTCCTATCAATATAACGCTATTTTGATCAACTATAATTTAATCGCCCAAACTATGATCTTGGCAATCTATGATCCACGGATCATTAAACGATCTATTTCATTTCTCATTTCAGATGATTCATTTGAGACTTCGTAGATCGTCTACATTCTTAATTCTACGACCTAGTCTCGACTAATGTACTATATAAGAATAAATTATTAAGTATCTGATTGAGTTTTTACCGATTCCTTAGAAAAATTATACGGTCATTACAAAAAAAGAAAAAGAAACAATTTATCCAACGATAAGACATATCTTCTTTACCGACTCCTGATTCAAGTCACTGGCATGAATCAGATCGGTGGATACGTAGCTATCGTCCTTAGCAATAAAATACCTATTATTTGTAGTAAACGCCAATTCTCAAACGATACCTACCAACGTTTCATGTCATTTCGACTATTTGTTCACTGTCCAGTGAATTAAAATTTCATTTGTTTTTCGATGGGAAAAATATGGAGCAATTTTGATATTGACTTGAAAAGTGTTACGACTGATTTGATGATTTTAAAGCGAGGTCATATAGACGGACACAATATATGCCCAACGGAAAACATCGATGAACTGAATTTCCAAACGATAGGTGACACTCAAAGGCAAAATTTTACCTAGAAATGAATGGACCATCTCACAAGTTGCCTGAATTGCGTAAATTGCTATCGCGACTATAGTATTCTGCTGGTTTGACTCATCGTGACTATTGTCTCTTTGCAAATCATAAAGGTCAGCTTCAGGCAAAAGGGTTTGCATCAGACGGTGCGATCCTTGGAGAAACAAAAGTGTATTTTGTGGATTTGTGCAAATCGTTCTATAAAAAAAAACAGCGAAATGTCCGAAAAGCCTTGACGGGAACTATATTAAGAAATAAAGTCGGGGGTTTGAAAAAAGAAGGGGCTTTTTTTCCCACTTAATCTTAGCTGTGATGGGCCGATGTATTATTTTCCTAACTTATTTTTCAAGAACGTAAAAGACGACTTTTACACACACTACAATGGCTCTCTCTGCCCTCATTTGCTCAAAAACGAAAAGCGTCCATTTCTCCGAAAAGCCTATACCTGAAAACTGAAATAATCCCAAGACTTGTGATTTCGAAATTACGGTTCATATTAATCAAATTATTGAAATTCGTATTTTTTAATTTGCATTTTTATGAATAATTATTTAACGAGGAAAAGTCGTAGCAGTTGTCACGAAGCAACTAAATACCTGATCTTAAATTACAACCGTAAAATTGCAACAACAACAACAACATCGTTTTGAAAACTTTAATTCAAAAAAATAAAAGAAAAAATGACTGTCGCACTAAAGAAATGGATTGAAAATTAAGGAACGCTGAAGTTACTTTCAGTTTGAGAAGGACGCGATTCAATATTTCAACAGCGATCATTTTTAATCATTCGATGAATTCAATCGGCAATCAGAACCTTTAGAGAGCATTCGTCGATTCGATATGAAAAGGACGACTTAAAATGATTGAACAAAGCTTACAAAGCAATATACGAAAGCAGCGCAATTTCGGAGTGCAAAAATATTGAAGGTCACCATCGGCAACCACTTAAATCTTCATCAATGGAGAATGTAAAGAGATTGCAACTTACCACACTTCGCATACCAGCACTCAATAAGAACCAACATATGCATACATACGTACAGATGAGTCAAAATTTGTCAATGACTCTTTCAAAGCACGGTCCACCTATTAAACTAATGTTATTTAATAAAAGATTCCGCTGTGGCCGAATACTTTACACGCCCACCAAACTGCTTTAACGAGCATAAGCGGAAATTTTCTTTGTTGGATTTGTTGCAGACATGTGCTCAACTTATGTTACACTATAGGCATATCCTTTGACCGATTCGGCCCATTTTCAATGTCAATCTGTTAACGAAGGACTTGCAATGTTTTTCGTTAAAATTGAAACCGATATCTAAATGTTTGCCATAAATGGTCTTACAAACGAATAGCTGAACACGCTTCAACCGATTCAAAATGTGTTAATGATCAAGATATTTTATAAGATTGTCGAGAGACTCCTACGAGGCATTCTCCAGCGAGGTCGCAAAGTTTAAATCTAATTAATATTTTATTTTAGATACATTTTTATTTTTTCCTTTATTTATTTATTTTTTTTTTCCCCAATTTCTGTCAATAAAGCTAATGATCTCAGCAATGAACACATGGAATATATCGTTGATGAGATGTTTGTTAATTAATTTTAAATACGTTTAAATGTATTTGAGTACAATGATTACAATGCATCAATGTGAGATATCATAATATAGCGAGTGCCGTTTGTAATTGGTAGGCCCTCGTGAAAGTGAGATAAGCTGCCGGGATGCATTAGAATCCAGCCTTTTTTATTATTAGTAATTGAGCAATTGTAGCGTAAAAAATGAACTCCACCGCCCTGGAAATCGATGTCAACGTTATTTAACGCCATATTAATAGTGTAGGTTGAGAAGTCATCGTGAGGCATGAGTGAAGGTTGCTCCTCAGTCCTATAACGCACTACTATATTAAAAACAGCGAATGCCGGCTAAACGAGAATTCAAACGTTAATATTAATTGATCTTTCAATTTTCAATTTTGATTTTTGAATTTTTATTTACAATCATCCCGTTTTGACCTCTCATTCAAACATAAAAAGAATGTAAAATATTCCGCTCTGTGCATAAACTATTTCAGCGATCACCATAAACATATTGACCAAGCGTGTCTTTTTCAATTTGCCTACGGGATAAATGTAAATAAGATTTTTTATAGTATACTTACGTCAACGTCGTGACCGATAAATGTTTTCCTTTGCAAGGGTTTAATAATCGTATTCAAGAAGTGCAGCCACATGTCATGCAGGCCCACTTGCTTCATATGTATATCGCGTGTAGGAACTGCCTCATAGCCGGTTGGTGTCCGATCATCATTATGACTACCACTTGACCATTTACCATAGTCTTCCATAATGGCTATCAAATCATCACAAAAGGCATCAGTGGTAATTGCAAACTGATAAACATCTGGACAAGGTTGTAAATAATTGTAATTATCTTCCAGTTGTTTAGTGTAGTTAGGGTGTATATATTTTTCCATCCAATCTAATGGATTATTAAAAATATTGTAAAAATCGGGACGTGCTACAGAGATGTCGAATTCCTCGATAGAAATTAAGTGACCATAAATGTATTCATTATTGATGTAAAGAAATATACCCTGAATGAATAATGAATGAAAAATATTTAGCGCAATTTTCCTTTCAAAACATTAGTTATACCTCAAGCACTTACCGCATCATAGAGTGATTCGCAAATGGCTCTGTCCGGCGTATAGCCGCGATAGCTATAGTTGATGTATTTAAAGGCAACATTTTTAATCAAGTAAATATTCGAGACATAGGGTACGTTCCACATGCCACTGTAATTATATATATGTATATATATATATATGTATATATATATCTATATATACATATATATGTATATACATATACATGTATATATATATCTATATATATAGATATATATATATATATATATATATCTATGTAGTCTATTCAAAGTTCGAAATTATGCAAATATTATGATTCCGAAAATCCGAATCATTTTAGAGTACAAGCGTTGCGATGTTCAAAAGGCTTGCATTTAAGTGCTTTTCGAATATGATAACTAGGCTTCTCTAGGTAAAGATATATATAAATATATATATATATATTTGATTGAAATTGTATTTCGGCAAAGCTGATCTATTAGAAGAGGGAGGACTGGTAGATCAATGCTTACATAATATTACGCGTTATAATATCATCTATTTCATTAGTGAGTGTAAGGAAATTACTTGACAGCGCTGTGGGCTCACTAACAACAGGTGAAATAAATTGTCTGAAAAAGAAAAAAAGACGTAGATATGAAATACAAAATACTGAACCGCATACCGATTCAAGGTCAAGAGTATTCTTAGGGTGTCGGGTTCATCGATATGCACACACGTCTCCACAAAAAATATATAATCAGAACGATCATCGATAGCTTCGTTCCTGTTACGAGCAATGAAAGGAGGAGTAAAAATTTATTAAGCGAATACGAACTTACAAAGCCATATGTCTGCTGCTTATTTCATCCAGTCGATATGTTGATGAAATCCTTTTGACCGATATGTATTCATTCTTCCAAGCCTCTGCAAACGCTTCCAACTGCGAATCATGGAATCGTACGCCACAATAGATGAATAGATGCATCTTTTGTTTGGGATAATTTAATTGCGCAATTTTTAATAGAAATTTATCAAAAAATGGTGCAGGCTCGTCGGCGATTATCGCCAAAGTAACTATGGGCAAATTGTTCGCCTAAATCCGAAAAGTAATTTTAAAAAATATGTTTGTAACATCTATTCAAATACATATGTCGTCGCACTTACTTGTAATTCAATACGTAACTGCTGGCAAATCAAACATTTCTCATCAAAATTTCTCACCAAATAATTGGCAAACGCATTTAATTGACGTTTACTGGCGCCATTGGCATGTATAATGCAAGGCATCGTGTCAAATATTGTATTTTTAATACTACCTTCATACGTGACCGAATGAATTAGAAATTGTATGTCCCTTTTGGCTCCATTTAAATTTTGAAATATCGCGGAATACGTGTCCAACTTGATGCCCAAATTTTCCCTTTGGCTTTCGTTTACAAACACTTTAGTGAAATACAACTGATAGTCCATATCGTAAGCGATGGGGTCATCTAAAAGCGCATATAGCTGGGGAGCGTAGCCGATAAATGCTCCCGAATTAAGAAAGCGGGAAGCTTGACTTTGTACGACGGGATAACGGGAACATAAATCAGAATCAGGCCAACAAAACTTTTCCGCCGAGAAAAGTAATTTAGCCTCAGTTTCTAGAAACTTTTCAACAATATCGCGAAGGCTGGCAGTGAAAATTACATCGTGGCTATAAAAGATGGACTATTTTGCCTACATATATGCTTTAAAAAGAACATATATATATATTTTTACCTGTGCGTGAATAGTACAAGAGTATCGCTTTGATTATAATATGGCGCAATAGCGTCACGCAAAAGATTCATTATTTTCCTATCGTTCTCCATCACTTGAGAAGTTCTTTTATCTGATTTAGGATTCATAGCAAGAGGAGTTACCTGAAAAAAAATTCCAATAAAGTCAAGGAAATGGGGAGTGCAGCGGAGTTAGGTGACAGAACGAGCATTATATGAAAAGAAATGATCATCCATTTTACGAAAAATGCGCTTTCAAAGTTTCTTAACAACATATGTCTACGTAGAGTCTAAATGAAAGACAAGTTCCTAATGCGGAATCAATCTAAATCACGTTTCTTAAATGGGAAGAAAATACAAATTTAGTCAATCATTAGGAGGCATAACAAAGCCAGCAACAGCGACAGCAATTCCATTTATTTATACTTGTCCGTCTGCTGTCTTTTTGCATTTTACATAGCATCGGCAAAGTTGCAAAGATTATTCTCAAGGTATAGCTTAACGAGAGTAAACTAGGTAGTCGCTACGCCTCTATGCAATTTCATTATGCTTATGATGAAATTGTTTTTAATTCATGCTAGAGGTATACTAATGCACACTTACCTCAATGCCGTAAACATGAGCTGAACGTATATAGCGCAAGTAGCCATCCGTTTGCCCATCAGCTATCGTGAAGGTCTTTACATTAACTGATGGCAGAGAACAGATATGCATATTTTACATTCTCAATAGTAATAATAATTTTCGAAACGAGATACATACCGACTTTTGAATTATTACCAGCGACTATTCTGTTCTCCTTTCCGCCAGGATTGAAATCGGCATTAATTGTCAGATAGAGTAGAAATATACACCGCAAACTGTTCTTCCAATTCTTATTAATTGCCATTGAAATGATTGGCAGACGACTTTTATTTCCGAATTTATTCAAAAGAACTTTTAAACTGAAATCCGTTTGATTCCCTTATTTCTCTCTCTCTCTCTCTCTCTCTCTCTCTCTCTCTCTCTCTCTCTCT